ATGAGGGTGATTCGGCCTAGGGTCGGTCTTGTTTCGATGCTCCGGATCCGGGGCAGTACTCGGGTAGGTGGTGCGCCTGGGACCTTTGGTGGACCCAAGTGAGACACGTCGGGACCCTTGGTCTCGACGTTCTCGTCAGTGCGGGGTGCCATGAGCGGGGGGCGGTTTGCAGGTCGGTGCGGGTGCACCGTTACCGGGTCGACGGAGTAATTTCTGCTGCCTTTTATACGCCTGGATCTTTCAGCCGCGGGCCCTGTTCCTTAGCAACTGTCTTTCACTCCGGTGTTGTCCCATCTAACAGCGACAGTAAATTGGGGATTATTTAGGGAGTTCATTTTTTTTACAACGGCGTTGGTGTGAGTAGTGTTCAGACGGTCTTGCGCCGGGCTTGGCCCGACCTAAGATCGTTTGTGTGTGGTGTAGTTGAGCGTATGCACAATCATGCGTTAAGTAAGACTCAACCTATGATTTGTGCGTGTGCAAAAGTGTATAAGTGTTTGACAGTGTTCGAACGGTCTTGCGCCGGGCTTGGCCCAACCTAAAATCATTTGTGTGTGGTGTGGATAAGTGTCCGCACAATCATGCGTTAAGTGAAACTTAACCTATGATTTGTACATGTGCAAAAGTGTATAGTGTTTGAGAGTGTTCGAACGGTCTTGCGCCGGGCTTGGCCCAACCTAAGATCGTTTGTGTGTGGTGCGGATAAGTGCCCGCACAATCATGCGTTAAGTGAAACTTAACCTATGATTTGTGCATGTATAAAAGTGTATCTGTGTTTGGAAGTGTTCGAACGGTCTTGCGCCGGGCTTGGCCCAACCTAAGATCGTTTGTGTGTTGTGTGGATAAGTGTTCGCACAATCATGCATTAAGTGAAACTTAACCTATGATTTGTGTATGCTTCATGATAAATGTATGTATGGGGTGTAAGGTTTAAACGTAGCGTTGCTTACCGTGTCGGAAGGTGAGAAAATTAAAACCAAAGAGGCGATTGCACTAGATTTTTCACTTTATTGTGGTTACAACCGAGAGATCCGGAAAATCAATGAGTGAGATCGATGGTTAAAACGCGGCCCCTTTTATACCCGTAGGGTCGTCATATTTTGGCGCCCCCATGGAAGGGGTAGAATTTTCGCCCTTGCGCTTTACTCATGAAAACCATCGATTCGCATGGATTTTTCGTCTTTCTTTATCTCAAATTATTACAGAATATCCTTAAAACTAATTATAAAAACTGTATTAATTCTAATAATAATAACGTAAAATAATGGTAATAATATTAACAATAATCGTGACAAAATATTAATGAAGGTAATATTAAAAAAAAATGATAATAATAAAATAATAAGAATAATAGTAATAGTACTAAAAATAATACTAATAATAATAATAATACTAATAGTGGTTGTAATAAAACATTAACAATAATAAACATATTAATGGTAATAAGAATATTGATGAGAACGGGAGAAAAATCTCTAATAAAGTAAGAATAATAATAACTGTTATATTTATGATTTATATATTCAATGTTAATAAAAATAAAATAGTAATAAAAAGAAAAAGGAATTAATTCTGAGAAACAACGCGAATAATAATTTTTAAAACTTACAACTAGAAAATTTTATTCTACGCTTAAAACCGGAGAAAGTCGTACCGCTGGAAAATGTGGTCGGTTCCTTCTACGTTGGTGCGAGAGAGAAACGCACGAGAGAGAGTGAGACACAACGATTTTATGTCAAAGTTGCGAAGGTCGTTGTATTGTTACCGGAGGGCCCGGGTGGCGTGACATTGGTGCGAGAGAGATGGAGCTATGAGTCGAGTGATGACTCATTATAGGCTATCACCATAGCTAAATATTACGTGAATAAGGTGTTTGCTATTCACGTAATGGGTTTTCGATTTTGCGCCAATTTGGGGAAAACCCGTCTGGCCCGTGGTATAACAACTCCACCCTCTCCCGGATAGACCTTTGCAACGCGTCCATCCTGTTTCTCCAGTTTGTGGAATCCTATCCACGTTGTTTCTGTCTTGTATAGGGCCGATTATCCCTATATGTAGCGCATCTTCTGTTGCGTAGTTGGTAGCGCCTCCTGGCGTTCCCTGGTGGTTGGATGAACTCATCCGGATCATCCTCTTGCTCTACGTCCGCCTCGGCGTCGTCTAAGGCGATATTCGGTTGGTCGTTCGTCATGATTATTGTTGGTCGAACGTCAACTGTGATGAGAGTCGGTGGTCGTCTGCCGGCCGTAGTTAGAGTCGGTGGTTGTTCACCAGCCGTAGTTAGAGTCGGTGGTTGTTCACCAGCCGTGGTGAGAGTCGGTGGCTGTTCATCAGCCGTAGTGAGAGTCGGTGGTTGTTCACCAGCCGTAGTGAGAGTCGGTGGTTGTTCACCAGCCGTGTTAGTTTGTTGATGTGGTGGTTGCTCACCAGCCACGTAATTTGCACGGGGGCGTGCAGGAACAAGGGTATCACCATGTACTTTTTGAATGATATTACCTTTGAGGATTGTGTAGACTTCTCCGGAGATTTGCTCCAGGATTTGAAAAGGACCGTTGCGAGTCCCATCGAGTGCGGCATTATAGCCAGCGAGTTTGTTGGATAGCCTATGCTGAAGGGCATAGACCCAATCACCAGGAGCAAAACGCGGCTCGCCTTCGGCCGCTGCGTACCGTTCCTGGTACTTTGCTTGTTGGATTTGCGCTTGTTCCGTGCGTTTTTGCAGGTCCTCCGATTCTTTTCTGTCCGTGAACCTTCATTCTCCGGGACGTAGGATTGTTTTCCCAAATAGTAAGCGGCTAGGTGTAAACTGGGTAGCCGCGTTTTGTCGACGACGGAGCCCGAAAAGTATTTCCGGGATATTACGGTCCCACGTATCTTGGTTATCCTGATGCAATCTTAGTTTCAAACCCTTCTTAATTTCTTGGTTGCGGCGCTCCGTAGGGTTGGCTCTTGGGTGGTAAACGGGTGTGGTCCATAACTGGCAGTCCCATCTTTGCCCTGCTTCAGCCCAGATGTGACCAGTAAATTGCGTACCGTTGTCGCTGAGGATTCGCTTAGGGTAGCCGTAATGTAAAGAGCACTAAGGGTGGGGAGCAAGAGAGCGGTTCCGTCTTCTATAACCCGACGGCTCGGTGGGAACATTCTTCCTAATTCAGATTCCCCTGATGATGTCTCCGTAGTGCACGGGTTCCTCGAGAGAGCGTCTGGTAGTTCGTTGTCCTTTCCAGGTACATGTTCGATTGTGAAAGAGAGTTCACTGAGCAACATGTACCACCTAGTGAGTTTAGCGCGAGAGTCCTTTTGCGCCTCTAACCATGTCAGGGTCTTGCTGTCGGTGCGTAACGTGAAAGCACGGTCCTCTAAATAGGGTCTGAACTTCTTGATAACCCACATTATCGCGAGGCACTCTTGCTCATTGCAGTGGTACCGGCTTTCAGTTGGTGCAAATTTGGCACTAGCGAAAGCGATTATCTTACGTATGCCTTCCGATGTTTCTTGCATTAATACGGCGCCCATACCTTTGGCACTTGCATCAGTTTGTAACACGAAGCGTAGATCCGGTTCGGGCCGACTGAGTTTGATGGGCTTCGAAAACGCCTCCTTTATTTCCTCAAATGATTTTTGGAGAGCTGGGGTCCACTTGTAGGGTCGTTTTGGTGAGAGCAAGTTTGTCAATGGTGGCATTATTCCTGATAAACCCTATAACCCTATATTCCCTATAAACGATCGAAGTTGTTTTCGTGTTTTTGGAACTGGGAAGTCTCGTATTGAGTCGAGGTGGCCTTATTGTGCTGCGTTACCATCCGAGTTGACCAGGTGGCCCAAGTAAGGCAGTGTGGTTTGTCCAAATTTACATTTTGCGGGGGAGACAGTCAGACCGTAAATTGAGAGTCGCTCGAAGACAAGTGAGATGTGTTGCAGATGTTCTTCCCAAGTGGCAGAGTATATGATAATGTCGTCAAGGTAGGCCATGGCGAAAACGTTCCATTGTTCTGCTAGAACTTCTCGCATCAGATTCTGAAATGTACCAGGTGCATTCTTGAGTCCGAAAGGCATTACTTTATACTGATATTGCCCTCCACCTGGTACAGAGAATGCTGTGTACTTTCGAGAGTTTCGGGCTAGACGGATTTGCCAGTAACCACTTTTGAAATCGAGTGTTGAGAAGATTCGGGCATTTCCAATATCTTTCAAGGTCTCATGAATCCGAGGTAGACACTGTGGGGCGTCTTCCGTTTGCTTGTTAAGTCGACGGTAATCTGTACAAAAACGGTACTCTCCTCCCTTTTTACCGGCAACGACTATCTCTGAGCTGAATTCCTCTGTTGTGGGTTCAATGATATCATCCCTCATCATTTCTCGTACTTGGTCAAAAATGAACTTTCGTTTTTCCTCGGAGTATCTACGAGGGGGTTCTCAAAAAGGCGTGGGGTCGGTGAGACGGATTTCGTGTTCCACTTTTGCCGTTGTTTGCCGCAAACGTCCCCCATCGTAGAAAATTTCAGCGTGTGTCTGTAGGAGAATTTTGAAAGCTTCTTCGTACTCGGGTGGGAAGTTCTGTTCTACTTCCGGGATTTTGAAGGTGGAGGGGGCTTCCTGCGGTTGGGCGATTGGTCCAAGGTATATCCTTTTTCTTCCTTCGTTTCCGATAAAAATACAGTCAAGGCCGTGGTAGTGAATAACATGGTGAGTTTTTAACCATGGTCGACCCAGGATGAGTTCGGGCCGAAGTGCTGGGCTGGCTAAGAAAGATCCGGGGTACTGCGTCCCTTGTAGGTTGGGGCTCAGGTTTAGTCTGCCGGTTAGAGGTATTGTCTGATGGACGGCCGCGAGGAGCGCATGGGTGGGTCCCTCTTCTAATGAGGCGATTTCTTGTTCTGACAACAATGAACTTCTCACGAAGTTGTCGAAGGCTAGGGTATCGATCTCGGCGGTAAGCTCTCGATTGCCTAAGAGGATACGGACTCTAGGGAGCATGCTAGAGTCGGAATATATTGCAGTTATTGTCGGGGTGGGGAGTTCGTAGCTGGGGCGGTAGTTGCGTTGCGATCTGCCTCTCTCTCTCGCCAGTTTCCCGACAACTGGTTTTCTCGATTGGCTTTCAGCACGGGGCAGTCTCGATGAAAATGGCGTTCGGGGCAAAAGTGACACATCGGGGGAGGCTTGGTTTGACAGGTGGCGGATGTCTCTGGATTTGCAGCTGGTGTTGTGTTATTGTTGTTGGTACTGGTGCTCTTAGGTTTCGGAGCAGGTTTAGAATGGAGTTCTTCTGCTTCGATTGCTTCGACTTGCACGGCTCTCTCAAACAATTCCTCGAATGAATTGAAGGCTACTGCGCGTAGTACTTTTTTGATTGAGGGTTTTACAGATTCCAAAAGGAGCGTTATAGTTTCTTCCTCCCCGGAATCCGGATTCAGCCGAAGTGAAAGGAGATATTTTCGCTGTAGGAATACGCCTATGGCCTCTTTCTCTGTTTGTTTCTCTGAGTACAGTTTATCCCGGTGTTTGTTTAACTGGTTTATACCAGCGAAACGTTGAATGAGTTCAACCAAGGTTGAAATTGATTGATTCAATTGATTGATTCAAAGGTTGTCCTTGGTTTCAACCAAGGAAGGAGCAAATTTTTATAAGGTTCTGACCACTTTGCCGCGGCCTCGGTGAGAAATCCGGTAGCCACCTTGGCCCATAAGCCCGGATTGCTCCCAGTTTCCTGGAAGTAACTTTCGCATTCTCCGATGAACGCTTTAGGATCTTCATGGTCGGCTCCCGAGGAAGCGGGTTTAGACACTTCGGGTGTCCGAATGGCCCTAATGAAGGCTCGAAGGTCGGAGAGCGGAATCGCCGCAGAGGAGATTGTTGGAGCGTTATTAATCCCGACGTCTGTTGGGCGCCCCGCTGTCCTCGCAGAGGGTGCTGATGTCACAACAACAGGTCGTTCTTGGGTATGAGTTGTAGGATGGACGTTTCGGCTAGGTCCAGCCTCTATAAGGTCTCTACGTGAGATTCTCATGGCGTGATTGTTGGAGATGGCTCGTTCTTCCGTTCCTTCGGGAACCGAACGGCTCCTTACGTTTACGGTGATTGTTTCGTAAGGAAGTGGTGGTTGCTCTGTGTGTGTTATTATTGGACGCCACCGAATTTTGTTCCTGAAATTCGGAAACAGTGTTGTCGCCTCGTCGTGGTCTACCACGACGCCGCGCTGGTGAGGTTGCTGGGGAGCGGAGCATGATTTTCTTGAGGGTTAAAGTCCTTTTTTAACTGCTGTTAAAAATGAGTAGAAGAATTAACTTTTAAAAAGCCCCACGCTGGGCGCCAATTGTTGTTTTGTCCGGTGTGTGCCGGACGTGGTATCGATGAAATGAGAGTGAGGACGGGGGAAATGTCCCTCCCGATGAGTGTTTAAGATGGTTCCCTTGAGGCCAAGGGACCTCGTGAGAACTATTCGTTCTTCGTGAAAGAGGTCTCGTGAATTACGTGGGTGCGACCGAACCGGGGTCGGTCGGTTCGGCCCTAATAAAAGATAGTGAGTTTGCCCCCGCCGATGTATCGACGGGACAAGAAGAGCTTTCTCCTTCGGAGAAGGAAAAATTAGACAGGAACTAGACACGTGCGGTCAGACCTGTAAACTCCAGTATTAAGGGGGGGGGTGAAGGCGATACGGAAAGTATGAACGAAACCCTCGCTGGGGTGATCGAGTCTTCCGGATGCCTAATTGGGGCAGTGAAGAAACCCAATCGAGGTCAGGAAGGGGGGGGGCAGTACTTGGCAGGGGCTGGTCGATGCCTGTAGTCTCGAGTGTTTCTCGCGGGGAGAAATGGAATATCGAAGCTCCTGGGCGGTTCGGTCTGTCCCTAGTCCCTAGAAGTGTCTTAGTTCAGAAAGTAAGATCCCGAATAAAAGACGGGAAAATCGAACGTTGGGTCTTGATCTCGTCGTGTGCCGTATTGTGTTGTTACCCGGCACACCTTAAAAGGAAGAGCCACTAATCAGAGGGCCGAATTACCTCTGGGGTGTCAGCTAATGAGTCCCAATAGACAAAGGGGATGAGAGCGAGAAAGACGCGTGAATTACGTTGAGTTGGAGAGGAAGAGCGACTAACCAAAGGGCCGAGTGGTAAGCCGAGTATTAGTGACGATGGGAAAATGTTACAAATGAAAGGTAAAAGGAGTTAAGAATCCGGCTGCTTGGAGGCGAGGTAAAGTCAATGATTCGAACAATTTACAATCAACAACCATATATTCTGTCAACCCCCATTTAAAGATTCCCCTTACACGAAAGTTCTTCTTCCTTTTTTTTCTACAATTCAATGAGGTTTTAAGTCAATGACGGGCCGATGTCGAGTCGTCCTTGGTCGTGCCGGTGGTGCTCGTCCAGCGAGCCTTTTTAACCGCTCAAATGCGGTGTTTTTCTGCACGGGGGCGGAGCGATTTGTTCGCTGGGTGGTGATTCTGCTCCGTGATTTGGGGTTTTCTTCGTCCAGCAAAACGGGTAAGTCCAGAGCCCGTTTAGAAATCGATGATGGTCCGCCTCGGGAAGAAACTGGGGAGCCGTCGGTCGGCTGCACGGAGTCGGTCCTCCTGGGGATGGTGTAACCCAACAGGGATCGAGGTCGCTGATTCTCCTTATCGGTCCCTTCGTCCACTAGGATGGGCAGGTCCAAAGCCCGTTTAGGAATTGATGGCGAGGGCCCAGAGGGGCACGGAAAATAGGCCAACTCAATTATTTCCGGTGATGGCGACCGGCCGATTGGTGAGCCAGGATCCAACCTGATGACGTCGTCGTCGTCGCTGTCGGATGACAGGGCTAGGTCCGCTGCTAGAACCTCGAGCGGGGTCAACACTCGTAGGGCCGGTGGTGGAAGTGTGACGTTCGGAGGTCCCTCGACGGGCGCAACCGAGCTTCGGGTTGGCCTCACTTCGACATTCCTAACCTGGGGTGTCCCTTGAACAAGTGGTTGGCCTAAACTCACTGAAGGTCCGGCGGAGAGGGCTGTCAACCCGTTAGGTGTCGCCAACTTGTTAGGTGAGGCCGGCGTGTCGTGGGCTGGCTGAGGTAGCGTGGCTCTCGGAGGTCCCTCGATGAGGGTGTTTCGGCCTCGGGTCGGTCTCGTTTCGATGCTCCGGATCCGGGGCAGTACTCGGGTAGGTGGTGCGCCTGGGGCCTTTGGTGGACCCAAGTGAGACACGTCGGGACCCTTGGTCTCGACGTTCTCGTCAGTACGGGGTGCGATGAGCGGGGGGCGGTTTGCAGGTCGGTGCGGGTGCACCGTTACCAAGGGCTTCTTCTCTGGGGTCAACTTCAGTAGAGGTGATGGAGCCACATAGGGCTACCTGTCGAGCTCCTGTAGAAGGGCTTCGAGGGTCCCTCAACCCAAAAACCAAAGGATCATAAAGATCCACCAATCAAAGTAAACAAAGAAAAGACTGATCCAAAACTAAAACTGACCAGAATATCAACGACAGCAACAACCGCAACAGTACTCAATGGGAAAAGCAACAAAAAACCGGAGAAAGTGGGTAACAAGCCGCCTGCTAAGAAAGATGCAAAAGAGGAAGTGGTAGTTGAGCCCACTCCTCACAAAAGAAAGCACTCGGGTTCGCCTGAGTCATCACCCGTAACGACTAAAAGAGTAGCTCAAGAAGATATCCAAGAAGACCAAGTATCTGATGAGGATGAACAATCCTCAAACGAGAAAGGTCCGAATTTCTCTGAAATACCAGACTATATTCAGGGTCACATCAAGTGTGATAAGGAGACACATTGCTCCTCCTGTGCCGAAAGTGGCCACAATCATAAAGATTGTCTGAACAAAGACAAGGAAAAAGTATGTATAAATTGTAAAAGACGTAACATAGGTCATAGCCATGACTCTATGGATAAAAAATGTCCAACATATAAAGTAGCTTTAGAAAGAACAATTAACTCAACTAACTATGGACCGTAGATCGGTCATACAACATAAAAACACAAACACAACAATTAAAGTGGTGCAACTGAATTGTCGCAGAGCAGCTAGAGTTCTTGCAGAACTTAGGCATAGGGCAGTAGAAAATGGCATTGACATCATGCTATTACAAGAACCTTACTCAAGGGAGAACAAACTAATAGGACTGGGAATGAAGACAAGAATTGTTAAACACGATCCAGACTTTCCATGGGCCGCAATTGCTATCCTTAACCCAGAGCTACAAGTTCTTAAGCTAACTCACTTGTGTACTCCGTACTTTGCGGTTGCACAGGTGAGCAATGGCTTGAACAATTTCTACGTTGTAAGTGCATACTTTCAACTTAGTCATCATATAGAACCGCACATAGAAAAACTTGAACAAGTTCTCATAAGCCTGGGGGGAAGGAATACAATTATAGGCATCGACTCCAATGCTAAATCTCCTTTCTGGGGGGCTGTTAAAAGAGATCAAAAAGGGAAAATACTTGAAGATTTTATCGCAGAGTGGAGACTTGTCGTGGTAAATAACCCTGACGATCTCCCTACTAGCTGTAATGAAGTTGGCGAAGGACACATAGACGTAACATTAGCAACTGCTAATAATTCACATAAGTGTTACAACTGGAAGGTCAGGGATGGATGGACTTCCAGTGATCATAGAGCAATAACTTTCGATATATCAAACACAATTAAGCGCAACTTATCTGTCAAAACATACGAAAATCGTCTAAAGTCCTATTCAACATCAAAAGCCAACTGGGATCTCTTTGATACCAAGCTATTGGAGTCTTGGAATAATGCAGAACATCAAATTAATTCTAGAAGGGATGTTATCCTAAGTGTAAGGGAATTGAACAGCTGTCTACGAACTGCATGCAATGCAGCAATACCACGAACACACCAAACACCAAAAAACGTTCCCTGGTGGGACGGAAATCTTTCAAAGCTACAAAAAGGGGCCTATAAAGCAAGAAGGGCCTTCCAAAGAGAGAAGGACCCAACCAAACGTCAACAACTTTTCAAGGTTTACCGAGAAACTAAAAAGACATACACATCCGCTGTCACAAACACGAAGGAAGCCAAGTGGACGGAGTTCGTCACGATAACCGGGAACAAAAACCCCTGGAGCTTCATATACAAACTACAGACATACAAACTTAAACACAGAAAGATTGCGAGTAACGTTAAAATAGACGGTCAATATACCATAGACTGGGCAAGTACAAGCAAAGTTATGCTGGATCAACTGTTTCCAATGGACTCTGAGATTGGGGAGACTGAAGATCAACAAAACATACGCCAAGAAAACCTAAATATCCCTGAGGGAGAGACTGAAGAATTCACTATGGAAGAACTAATAGCAACACTAAACAAGATGAAAATTGGAAAGGCTCCTGGGCCTGACAGTTTCACTCTTGTAATAATACAAAGGGCATTCCAAGTAATCCATACTGGACTACTTAAGATATATAATAAGTGTTTGCAGTATTTAGTCTTTCCCAATGAATGGAAAATAGAAAGAGTTATAACAATCTTAAAAGGCGAGGACAAGGATCCCACCAATCCAAGATCTTTCAGACCTATATGTCTCCTACCCATCTTAGGCAAAATCCTGGAGGCATTGATTCTACGGAAACAAAATGTCAAACTTGAACCAGCACTATCTCCAAGACAATATGGCTTCAGACGTGGAAAATCCACTGAAGACGCTATTATAGAATTCAGAAACCACATAACAAACTCACACTCAAAATATGTTATAGCAATCTTTCTCGACATAGAGAAAGCCTTCGACAACGTTTGGTGGCCAAGCGTCATGCAAGGCCTCAGACGAATTAACTGCCCGACTAAACTGTACCGACTCATTAATAACTATCTTAACAACCGCACAGTACTGATCAGGGATGGCTGCCAAGAGCTATTCAAAGAAATAAATAAAGGTTGTCCCCAAGGTTCTGTCCGGGGTCCTGCTCTCTGGAATATAATTTTTGATCCGAACCTAAGAGCGCTGGAAGATCTTGACTGCCAAGCCATTGCTTATGCTGATGACGAAGTAGTTCTGATAGAAGGCGACTCTAAAAGGGAATTAGAAAGAAAAGGTCAAATGGCAATCGACTCAATTACTAACTGGTGTAGCATAAATAAACTGGCCCTTGCTCCAAGCAAGTGCGTTCAGTTAATGGTAAAGGGCTTTCTAAACAAGAAAGCACCTCCCATTATAAAGATTAACAATAAAAGAATCAAAAGAGTTGAAAAATTCAAATATCTAGGCGTTACATTCGGCTCAGCTGGTGTATTAGGAATCACGGTAACCCAACACGTCGAAGATGTAGACCAGAGAGTAAGGATACTATTTAAAAACTTATCTAGACAAGCCAGAGACGAATGGGGACTAAGATACAAGACCTTAAATACCATCTACAAAGGACCATATGTTCCTATTGCTACATATGCTGCTGCGGGATGGTACGACAGAATATGTGACACGGCAAAAAGAACACTTAAAATGTCTCAAAGGCACGCCTTGATCAGGATCACTGGCGCATACAGAAACTCGTCTGCGCACTCCATGACGGTTTTGACTGGGAATTTTCCCATCAATCTTGAATGTGAGAAGCGCACAGCACACTACAACATCCGCAGAAAACGAAACTTCACAATACAGAGCATGTATTAAAATCCTGCCCGAAATACGCAACAATAAGACAAATTCTATTAATAAATATTAATAGCAATCACATAAACGAACAAGACCTACTGAAAAACAAAACGAACTTCACAGCATTTGAAACTTACGCAACGGACGTCCTAAAAACCAAAGAGGCTCTGGAAGCCATAGAAAATGATATATAATATATATAAAGAAATCTATTTATTCACAAAACTCTATAGCCAATGATGTACGTAACGATCAGCAACCCAACTGTAAGATAAGCAATTCTGAAGCTAAAGCAAAAATCCACTGGTAAGCTAAAGCGAGGAACAGTGGGGCATCGTCTATAGCGCCGAGCGCAATAAACTGAGGCAACTTTTTTTTTTTTTTTGGTAGAAGGGCTTCGAGCTCCTGGAGGACGGCGGGGGTCTCGGCTACTGGTCCCCAGGACGGCCCTCTGGAACGGGTGACGTCCTCCTGGACGACCTTGATGGGGGCCGAGGTATGGAAAGCCGGTTCTGAAGACGGCGCCCCCTGGTGGGTGAGGTACTCCTTTACGGCCTTGATCGGAGTCGCAGGAGGAGAGGCGTTCTCCAGTCGACGGAGTAATTTCTGCTGCCTTTTATACGCCTGGATCTTCCAGCCGCGGGCCCTGTTCCTTAGCAACTGTCTTTCACTCCGGTGTTGTCCATCTAACAGCGACAGTAAATTGGGGATTATTCAGAGAGTTCATTTTTTTACAACGGCGTTGGTGTGAGTAGTGTTCAGACGGTCTTGCGCCGGGCTTGGCCCGACCTAAGATCGTTTGTGTGTGGTGTAGTTGAGCGTATGCACAATCATGCGTTAAGTAAGACTTAACCTATGATTTGTGCATGTATAAAAGTGTATCTGTGTTTGGAAGTGTTCGAACGGTCTTGCGCCGGGCTTTGCCCAACCTAAGATCATTTGTGTGTGGTGTGGATAAGTGTCCGCACAATCATGCGTTAAGTGAAACTTAACCTATGATTTGTGCATGTATAAAAGTGTATAAGTGTTTGAAAGTGTTCGAACGGTCTTGCACCGGGCTTGGCCCAACCTAAGATTGTTTGTGTGTGGTGTGGATAAGTGTCCGCACAATCATGCGTTAAGTGAAACTTAACCTATGATTTGTGTATGCTTCATGATAAATGTATGTATGGGGTGTAAGGTTTAAACGTAGCGTTGCTTACCGTGTCGGAAGTTGAGAAAATTAAAACCAAAGAGGCGATTGCACTAGATTTTTCACTTTATTGTGGTTACAACCGAGAGATCCGGAAAATCAATGAGTGAGATCGATGGTTAAAACGCGGCCCCTTTTATACCCGTAGGGTCGTCATATTTTGGCGCCCCCATGGAAGGGGTAGAATTTTCGCCCTTGCGCTTTACTCATGAAAACCATCGATTCGCATGGATTTTTCGTCTTTCTTTATCTCAAATTATTACAGAATATCCTTAAAACTAATTATAAAAACTGTATTAATTCTAATAATAATAACGTAAAATAATGGTAATAATATTAACAATAATCGTGACAAAATATTAATGAAGGTAATATTAAAAAAAAATGATAATAATAAAATAATAAGAATAATAGTAATAGTACTAAAAATAATACTAATAATAATAATAATACTAATAGTGGTTGTAATAAAACATTAACAATAATAAACATATTAATGGTAATAAGAATATTGATGAGAACGGGAGAAAAATCTCTAATAAAGTAAGAATAATAATAACTGTTATATTTATGATTTATATATTCAATGTTAATAAAAATAAAATAGTAATAAAAAGAAAAAGGAATTAATTCTGAGAAACAACGCGAATAATAATTTTTAAAACTTACAACTAGAAAATTTTATTCTACGCTTAAAACCGGAGAAAGTCGTACCGCTGGAAAATGTGGTCGGTGACTTCCACGTTGGTGCGAGAGAGAAACGCACGAGAGAGAGTGAGACACAACGATTTTATGTCAAAGTTGCGAAGGT